ACACACACACACACACACACACACACACAATAACACACACAATCCTGAATGATTATCTGTCCACCTTTCAGGGTTTGGATCCGTCCGACACTCAGGGAACAGCCGGTTCTGTTGGTGTAGAGCAGCAGCACCTGCAGCCTGTCTCACCCTCTCTTCTCCTGTCTGTCTCTCAGGTGTTCATGGGGAACCTGCAGGTGGACCTGGGATTGGTTCAGTACGACAGTGACTCTCTGCTGTCTCCCGTCCCATTGGCTGCTCAGATCGGTTTGGGGGCAGGAGCAGCTGTCATCATCCTATCGGTGCTGGTCGTCATCCTCATGTACAGGTAGGTACCTGCACTGCCTGTGCGTCCCGTACAGTACTACCCCCCGTCGGTTGTTGGTCCGAATACACGTCTGCCCCCACCCCATCTGACCGACCGACCGACCGACCGACCGACCGACCGACCGACCGAATATTCAGATAGTCACCACTAAATGGGCTCGAATATCAGAATACAAGAAATCGCTGTTTGGAACAGCCGTAGTTGTTGATCAGCTGTTTCTTTGGTTCTGTGCAGGAGGAAAAGTAAACAAGCTCTCAGAGATTATAAGAAGGTTTTGCTGCAGTTGGAAACTCTGGAGATCAACGTAGGAGATCAGTGCCGCAAAGAGTTCACAGGTAAACAAAGTGAAACTGAAGAAACGTGGTGTCTCCAGCTCCCAGCCTCACTGCAGGAATGGGCCGGAGTTCTGCTGAGCCACTCAGATGTTGAAACTTCAATGTTCCTGAACAGCTGCTCCGCTTCTGTGACCGCTTCCATATTTACGTCTTCTTCTCCTCCTGCAGACCTGATGACAGAGATGATGGACCTGAGCAGTGATGTTGGAGGACCAGGACTCCCCCTGCTGGACTACAGGACTTATGCAGAGAGGGTGTTCTTCCCCGGGCAGCAGGTGGCACCGCTGAGCCGCCAGCTGGACCTGCCAGAGTCCCGGAGGCAGACGGTGGAACAGGGTCTCCAGCAGCTGAACAACCTGCTCAACAACAGACTCTTCCTCACCAGGGTGGGCATGGGCGAGGCTTCAGGTGACAGGTCAGGTCAGGTGACACCTGGACGTACAGGTGACATTGTTCTCTGTGTTTCAGTTCATCCACACTCTGGAGGCTCAGCAGGGCTTCTCTCAGAGGGACCGAGGCTACGTGGCCAGCCTGCTCACCATGGCTCTGCACGACAAGCTCGAGTACTTCACCGAGGTCATGAAGAGTCTGCTGCAGGACCTGGTGCAGCAGTACGTGGCCAAGAACCCCAAACTCATGCTGCGCCGGTACGTAACAGAACCACCCATTTCAAGAACCAACACAAGACAAAACCACCATCAGGACCTTTTATAGAACCAGCAATTGAAAAAATTACCTTCAGGTGCATCTGAAGAACCGACGCCCCAAATAAGACATGTTGCAGTAAACAGCCTTGTCCACCAGAGGGCAGTCGTGATGCATTTGCTGTCCAGTCACATCTGCATGTGAGCTTCCAGTATGACATCCAGGGAACGAGTCTGTGCTTGAGGGAGGGTTTGATGTCTGAAGGGACATTCGCCATCCAAAGGAGAATCTGGCATCTGATGGAAGGCTGAGCAGCTAAAGTCTGCAAGGCCTCCAAGCCGTTAAGATTTACTGTCGGAGCTGAAACCAGGACAAATGACGGCGGCTTGTTCAGTCTTTTATTTATAGAGACCCACAAAAGCATCTTTAAATGATTTATTGCTGCTGTTATGTCGGCCTGCTTCTAGTTTATGATGCTGAACATAAAAAGATTCAGCTCACAGAAATACACTGAATTACTGCTGCTCAGGGTGCTTTGTGTGGCTTTATTCACAGCTATTTCTAATAAAAGACACTTGGAACCGGACTTCAGGTGTTTGGTTCTGCCTCAGAGCTACACTGTGCTGCTGTTGTGTTTCGGCCACGACGCTCTCAGAGAAGAGCTTCAATCTGAAACTTGGTTAAATAAAGCTGAAGTTACAGAAAGTCAGACTTCATCTTCTGTCCATGCTGTTTTTCAGCACAGAGACAGTTGTTGAGAAGATGCTGACCAACTGGATGTCCATCTGCCTCTACTCCTTCCTGAAGGTACCTGTCTGCCTGTTCTTATGTTCCTGTCTGTCTGCCTGCTGCCTGTCTTACCTGTGTCACCTGTCTGACAGGAGGTGGCGGGGGAGCCTCTCTACATGCTCTACAGAGCCATAAAGTACCAGGTGGACAAAGGGCCGGTGGACGCCGTGACAGGAAAAGCCAAGCGGACGCTGAACGACAGTCACCTGCTGCGAGAGGACATCGACTACTGTGCCATGGTACCCATGGCAACGCACGTCTCATCTGTCGGCATCACTCAGTTGTCCACAATTGGACAAGCACAGCTCTTTATCATCTCACCTGCCTCACCTATCTGTACCTGTCTCACATCTTCATACCTGTGTCACCTCTCTGTATCTGTCTCACCTTTTCGTACCTGTCTGTTTCTCTCAGACTCTGACAGTGTTGGTAAAGAACGGCGTTGAGGTCCAGCCATGTCCTGTCAAAGTGCTCGACACCGACACCATCACACAGGTAGGTGTCTGTCTGTCTGTCTGTTCCTCACCTGTATACCTGCCTCTCACCTACCTGTCTGTCTGCCTTTGTGAAGGTGAAGGACAAGATCCTGGATCAGGTGTACAGGGGAGCTGCGTTCTCTCAAAGACCTGCAGCCGACAGTCTGGACCTTGGTACTCACCTGTCTGACCTTTCTCACCTGTCTTACTTGTCTGTGGTTTGACAGACAGTTCATACTCGCCCGTCTCTCTTTCTGCTCACAGAATGGCGTTCAGGTCAGGCGGGTCACCTGACCCTGTCGGATGATGATGTCACAGCGGTGGTTCAGGGTCGCTGGAAACGACTCAACACTCTGCAGCACTACAAGGTACCAACAGCTGACCAATCACAGCACGTCCTCCTCTGCCCCGCCCCCTGTTCTCCACCCTCTTGTTCACCTGTTCTTACCCTCTGCAGGTTCCAGATGGAGCCACAGTTGCTCTGATTCCTCGTTCTCAGAGTTCAGGGGGAGTTGGAGTCAACCAGGTGTTCCAGACAGGAGAGAGTAAGAACACAGCAACAATCCTGACCATACAGAACCATGTGGACCCATCTAGAACATTCAGAGTATCACACAAACAGAACTACTGAGAACATGATGAACTAGCACAGACAAAGAAGAACAGATTTAAGCTTAAACGAGCACTGTGGAACATCTGAAACTGAGAACCATTTAAAACAGCTAGAAAATCTAGAACCCCAAACAATTCACACACGGCCCACTAGAACCTCTGGAGCTCATCGCCAACACAGAGACAGCCACCTGGCAAATCCTAAACGGAATGGCAATGGAAGAACAACAACATAGAACATCTAGAACACCTAGAATTAGAATACACTAGCAGACACTGGATCTTGAAAATCAACTACATAGAACAGCACAGAACCACCGAGACCGTCTAGATCGGACCGCAGCTGAAACACAATCAGCTGGAAAATCATGAACTCAAATTTTATACAAGAATAGCAATGTAGAATATCTAGAACACCTAGAATTCAGAAGAAACAGAAAATGTAGAAGCTCTAGAACCCAGAACAACCCATGGAGAACCATGTCTGATCTAGAACCGTGTGACAATTCAAACAGAATCTCATTTAAACTGTAGAGCTCTGGTCTGAAGAGAGCTAGAACTGACAGTTCTGTTGTTCGGATGCAAGGCTTTGCGGCGTCTTTCACTGGTCGTCATGGTGACCGCCTATGTGTGGTTTCCATAGAAACACCGATGCTGGAGGGGGAGGAGGAGGAGGGACTGCGTCTGTGGCACCTGGTGAAGAGCAGCGAAGATCCTGAAATCCCCAAACACAGGAAGAGCAGCATGAGGGAGCGAGAGCGGGCCAAGGCCATACCTGAGATCTACCTGACCAGGCTGCTGTCCATGAAGGTAACACACACCCAAGACCTACCTGTCCGCCTTTCATCCATCTGTCTCTCACCTGTCTGCCTCCCACCTGTCTGTCTGTCTGTCTGTAGGGGACGTTGCAGAAGTTTGTGGACGACGTCTTCGTGGCAATCCTCAGTACGAAACGTCCTCCTCCAATCGCCGTCAGGTTTTTCTTCGACTTCCTGGATGACATGGCCGAGAAACACGGAATCGACGACCCGGAGACCGTCCACATCTGGAAGACCAACAGGTGAGACACACCTGGACACCTGACAGAGACGGCCTCTCTCTCACACCTGTCTGTCTGACCTGTCTGTCTCTCTCCAGTCTCCCTCTCAGGTTCTGGGTGAACATCTTGAAGAACCCTCAGTTTGTTTTGGACGTTCAGGTGACCGACAGCATCGATGCCGTCCTGTCGGTCATCGCTCAGACGTTCATCGACTCCTGCACCACCTCGGAGCACAAAGTGGGCCGGGTATGACCTGTCTGTCTGTCTGTCTGTCTGTCTGTCTGTCTGTGTGCTTTAGTCATGTGACCTGACGGTATCTCTGTGTCCAATCAGGACTCTCCTGTCAACAAGCTGCTGTACGCCAGAGAGATACCCCGATACAAGCAGCTGGTGGAGAGGTGGGACAACTACACTACTCACACAACATGTCAAGTTCTGTTACCATGGAAACACTGCTGTACAGTCACCATAGCAACCAGACTGTCTGTAAACAGTGGCTGCAGTACGAATGTGACCCAGTATAACCAGTGTGTGTGTGTGTGTGTGCAGGTACTACAGTGACATCCACAGCGCTGCCTCAGGCTGTTATCAGGAGATGAACTCGACTCTGACTGAACTGTCCGGGGTCAGTGAACAAACACTCACCTGCACTGGAGACATAATAATACTGTCTGTCTGTCTGTCTGTCTGTCTG